AACAAGTTGTGAAACTTAACAAATACAAAAAAAATAACAAGTTTCTAAATTTGAAGCCCCCTTTGAACTTCAGGCTCGGGCCAAATGACCCTCCTACACCCCCTCTAATTGGCCCCAGTTGCAATAAAAAAGGGACAAGTATTCCTCTTTTTTTTCTTATCTAATTTACCCACTTATGCTTTACGTCTTTACAAGGTTTGCCCTTTTATATAATTTGGTTCACATTTTTATATAGCTGGCCCCTTTTTTCTAACATGGCTGTTTTTTGTATATGTAATATGTTTTGATCAGATATCACTCACTTCTGTTACTTTAGTGTTAGTTAGATGTAGAGTTTGCACTACATGAAACATCAGTTAATGTACTCAGATATTCTGTGCATGTAAACTAATCGTTTCACCCATTTACGAGTCTCATTAGACAAACTGTAATAATTGTTTTTATGTATAAAAATGTTATATAACTTTTATACAAAACGGTCAGATTTTGTATCCCATATGTCATTTATAAACCTAAAATAAACCTACTTTATCTTATCTCGATTTAAACCTGAACACGCTGATTTAGTCTTTTTAAACAATCTTAATCTATAACAGATGTAATACGTATTAATATAATAAATTATTTAAAAATTAATTATTTTAATATCAAAATCAAGATGTTATTTCAAGTGACTTTCTAACTCCACATCTCAATTACTACACGATTTCAGGCTTACAACCGGATCCTTAAATCATAGGTTTTAACTTAGTGACTGTGTGGTAGAACTGACAAATATAATTTCTACCACTAAAGGTGCCGGCCTTCCTTTGTTTACTATATGTTTTCCCATCTCAACATGAAGAAGAACAAAGATTTTTGATTGTCTATTACTCCTTAATCTACTGATTTTGATGTGCTTAGATCTGATGAGAAACATAAGAACAGTGGCATCTGTAACAGCTGTGGCAATAGCCGAGATTCGACCAAATGTTCGGTCCTGTATAAGGAATCGCGATATCGTTATTTCATCATTCTAGGTTGACGCGAGTCTTCAAACTTCTCCTGTCGTCAGTGCAAAGAACTAAATGTTACTTCTCTCGACCTACCTAGTAATCAAACATCCGTCAAACGTTCGTGATCTTGTTGGTATTCTTGGTTCGAAAAAATCAAGCGGACAGTTCGGATACAGACATAAACATACGAACAGATTGGATACGGATATAAACATACGGAGAGATTGGATACGGATATAAACATACGGACAGATTGGATACGGGTATAAACATACGGAGAGATTGGCTACAGATATAAACCTACAGATAGATTGGATACAGATATAAACCAACGGACAGATCGGATACAGATATAAACTTACAGACAGATTGGATACAGAAATAAAACATACGGACAGACTGGATACAGATATAAACCTACAGACAGATTGGATACAGATATAAACCTACAGACAGATTGGATACAGAAATAAACCTACAGACAGACTGGATACAGATATAAACCTACAGACAGATCGGATACAGAAATAAAACATACGGACAGACTGGATACAGATATAAACCTACAGACAGATTGGATACAGATATAAACCTACAGACAGACTGGATACAGATATAAACCTACAGACAGATCGGATACAGATATAAACCTACA